AAAAAGTTTATTCAAAATGCATAACTATGTACAAAACTATTTATTATAAATGGTAAAAGAACAATCACTACAATTTGTAATATTAATATAATGGCAAAGCACAGCTCACTCACCTACTAATATTTGAAACTACACAATACTTACTCCTTTAAAAATAGTTGTCATTGTGACATGTCGAAAATGCATTTTTTAATTTTTCGAAAATGTATTGATATAAATGCCATCAGATAAAATTTTGTATGTAATACGAATCATAAACAATCATTATGGCACACGCCGTGTTAGATAACATTCACGACTTGTACCATAATGATCGTCTTTATGATCCTTATTACATAAATAACTATTATTGAACAACAATGTTCAAATGACTATCGACTGAAGTCTTTCTCCCAACAACTTCCATGAGAGATATAAATTTTGAATAAATGTTCGAAATAAATAGTAGTGATACTATGAAAAGAAACATCATGATGAGATATGAAATAGAAATACGTAAAGAAACTTACCATTGTGGAGGATACAATGTCTTCTATCATCATGAATTACTTTCCGTGAACATTCCTCTAACGAAAGAATTGAATTATTATCGATATATTCATACAAGATCGACTACAAGACAATATGTCACTTTTTTCAAACGTTAATATTTCGAAAGCTATCGAGTATATTTAGGAGTAAAGTGTATTGTAAGACTGTAAAAAATTATGAGATTTCGAAAATGAAATAATATACGGGGTATTCCATTTTGAAAAATACTTCAAGATGGCGCCGAGCCATCTCTCCAAATTTCGTTGTGATATATCAGGTGGTTCAAAAATTGGAAGGGGGGAATGGGCTTTAGGCGGGCACAGTAAACGGGAATTCATAAGTAGGATAGATAGAATTGAATCACTCCGTATACATGAATAATGGTCACAAAAAACTCTAATTCAGCAAAATGAAAGTTTTTTTTCATAACGACTCTAGTGTCAATATAAATATCATTGAAATTAGTGTTCATATGTGCGAACTGTAAACTGAAAATAAATTTCAGGAATACATTTTGATTGAATTTTGAGTATCAGTAGGATGGTCACTACATTGTGTCGATACGAAATGGCAAATTGACATTAGGACCAATATGGAATTATTCTTAATTTTTTAAAATGCTGTCAGAGGTTTCGCCACCAATTGAATCGACCGTATACAACGAAATCTAATATGCGACTGATGAATGGCTGGCTTGATTCATTATCCTAATGACTAATTGGTTACGTCATCCTTCTAACCGATTAATTCCCGAACAATAACATTTTATCTAAGACAGACGATGATATGGAAAAATAGTTTTACAGGGGGGGGGGGACAAGAAATTCCGGAAGTGTTTCGAGAATATATCATGAACCTCTATATTCAGTTCTCTCGTAAAATAGAGTTGCCATTAAAAAAAATAGCGTGTTGACGTAGTTTCTCAGACACGAATCATTCTATACAGGGTGTCCGGAAAGGTCATATCATGAATGATAGGGCTGATAGAGTGAGCCAAAATAATGTCAGTACTTCATGAAAAAAAAAAATGTTCTTCGCACTTCGCACGAATTCATTGACCTTGAAAGTTTGAATCGAAAAAATATTCATGTATAACTTTCAAACGGTTGCCATGGTATCAATGATATTGGGACAACTAACTAAAATCATACTAATGCCCATTTCGATATGTAAACGGGTGTTCAGTAATTATGTTTCATACAGGGAGGGACGGATTTTCCGTTTAATGAAGGCATTTTTGATAGAGGTGACAAAATCGACATTTTGCTTTCACCTTTTGATTCCAAATAATACACTTTATTTTAATCGATATCCTGTACCGTTCTAGAGAAAATCGCATTTTAGGAACATGCATCCCAACCGTTTCAAAGGTAACAAAAACTAACTCTATTTAATCTTGGTAGTTGCAGTCATTGTCATAATTGACGTCAAATTATTTTGACAGTATTCAATAGAAGTAACACTAGAGTCACTGGATGGTATTGTTAGATAAGAGTTCGGACACAGAGATGACAACTGTTAGTGTTTTTGAATGTTTTGCATTTGGACAAGAGCACCATAGTCGTCCCGAACTTTTTCATTCAGAACTGTTTGAATTTTTTCAATAAATTTTATGAACGTCAGGATTGAAATATAATTTCATGAACTATTGAGTAGAAAGCATGAATGAAAATGTCCTGCTGTGTACTGAATTGTGGGAATCCTGAAGAAAATGGTTTGCCACAGAAAATATCAACCATTTTACTTGATGCTTTGGGATTTTCTCTCCTCGTTTCTATAAAATAAAAATATTCGTATTATTTCAATATATTCATTTTGGGACAAATCAGATGATTTGCCCCAAAATGTCACTGCGTTTAACAAATTTTTCTATCAGGGAGTCTAAAAGAAAAATCCAGTAGCTTGTCAGTGACAATTTGTTTGAAAAAATAGGAAGGAAAGAAAGGAAAGAAATATAGATATATTGAAAAAATATCGAATTTTTACTTATCTTTGGACGTTTCGGGACCGAATCTATTCCCGTTCTATCGTCAAGCGTTTTCGATTTCGAAACACCCTGTATATTATACAAAAACACTTACCATCTTGAAAAAATACAACTTTCACTCACTCAAATGAAAATACAATCACTAACATGAATTTGAATTCCAATTTTCCACTCTTAAATACTTCGAGTTCTTCTTTTATCGAGTCTTTTATTATCACCTGTACCAACCGTACGCTATGAAGTCTAGAACGAAACTGCAGATTGGTTTGATTTATCATTCAAATGAGTAATTGGTTACGTCATCCTTTCAACCGATTAATTCCCGAACAAGTATGACTAATTCCGATATCGCTAGTATGTATACGGAGTGGAGTGAAAAGAAATTTAAGGATATTTTCTTTCATTCTCTATACGAGGTGTTTTGAAATTAATACATATATTCAGCAAATCAATGAAATATATGCTAACGAATATTCCCGTTGTATCAGATTTCTGGTAATTCTCCTAATAAACGAGAAATTTGATCTTGCAAATTTAATAAAAATCGGAAAAAAATCAAATATGCCACCTCAAAGCAATTCAACTGATTGACCTCCGCGTGAATGTGCCTTCCGCATGCACATTCGTACAGTGGTGACGTCAGAATCGCTACACTGTAGAATTTTGGGTGGAAAAAGAGTCCCACCCTGGATTTCATTTGATCCCAATGTTTTTCCTATGGGTGCCATCCAATAGTATTCGTCGAAATTATTTTGGGTTTGAAATATTTGTATTTATTTCAATGTCATCTGTCACCCCGTATATTAGGCTGAGTTAGGTTAGATTTTTTAGAAAAATAAGTCTACACTTTTACGCAGAAAGGATATTTTTCTTCAGTATATACAAGGTGATTCACACTAAGAATGGGAAATCTCTGAACTACAGATAGTTAACACCGCAATATTAAGATTTAACCCAACATGGATTATAGAAATGTTGTAGATACAGGGTGTTCAAAGAGAGATTTCATGTTAGCTTTGGTCGAACATATTTACTTTGAAACCTGTTTGTTGTTGGCGTTGTTTGTGATTGTCATCATCGATCACTGTCTGTTTTTCCACTGTCAGTTGTGAGTTATTTTGTTCTTTTTTCTGTTATGCAAAATTTTTGTTGTTTTGTCAGTTTCGCTATTGCTTTGTTTTTTTTACGTTACGTTACGAAAATTCAGATAAAAAATTATCGGTTTATCGACAATATAGATTTATCGATGATATCAAAACAATCGATAATATAGATAACTATCGATGAAATTTTCGATGACCTACTATCTTCTTATTTGGAATGTAGTATATTGTTCGCTTTCTACCCGTAGCACGCTCAATGTTCCTTTTCGGGTGCTCGATGCAAAAAATATCGACAATATCGATAATTCATATACAATTATCGATTTATCTATAATATCGACAATTTTGATAATATCGATACATTGTGATTATCGATATCGATAATAGAAATGAAGAACGCACTTTTTCTCGTGGTTAGAAGAATGTTTGAAGATTCTAAATTATTTTTTCTATGTCCCACACGATACTTATAGAAAAAAAAAAACTTAAAAACGCGTTCGAATTCACCCCGACTTACGGTTTTTTTATGTTCTGGTTCTCACGAAAAGGGATATCCTGTAATGTTCAGAGAACATCGTGAGAACCAAGGGAAATAAAGAAGGTGTTCTTCTTAAATTTCTGGAGGTTATATACCTCGGGTAACACCTCCCTTGGCAATGTGTTCCAGAGCCTCGCTAATCGTTGGATGAACGAGTCTTTGGAAAGAGATGTTCTGCAGGTCTCCAAAGTGACCACGAAGCCTCAACTCTACGGGTTAATCTCGCGGGGACTGCCAAGGGAGGAACAGTTTTTGATATTTCAGAAGAGCATCGTCCATGGAAATATCTATAAAATAGAGCCAGATCGCCAACTTTTCTACGGTGTTCCAGAGAAGTGAGTGAGTTTGTGAGCGAGGCATCGCTCACGAGACGAACCGCCCTTTTTTGGACAGAATCCAACAGTTCGAGGGTATGTTTGGGTACTGCACTCCAAATATGGGAACAGTATTCCAGGACAGGTCGGATCTGTTCCTTATGACTGGAAGTGAAATAGCTCCTGGCCCTAAACAGAAAACCAAGTTTTTGGGATGCACTTTTAGCAATTGATCTCACGTGATTTTCCCAAGAAAGGTTATTGGTAGTAATACCAAGCATTGAAATGGATGTCTTCAAGTAAGTTAACACCAATTCGTTGATATTTTCAAGATTTTCAAAAAAGCATGGTTATAGGAGCTCAGTTTGAAATCATAAAAGACTCACAAAATAAAATTCTTGAAACTTTATTATAACAGAACATCTGGTGTCTATGACCGAAACTACTTATTCTATAACGTATTCAATATGGTTCTTCTTGTTGCTATGGTTCAAAAGCACCAATATTAAAAATTATCACAATTCGAATCATTTATGTTCGCCCATTACGGCAACAGATGAAAATTGTACTGCGGTGCACTAATTTCAATACACCTTAGGTGAGTTGTTTTTCCGAAAGTCCTTCATTGTAATTGCATCTAGGAGGGAATAGGGATCCTTATCTGGCATACCCAGTTCAAGGTATCCTTGTATGGAATAATTGAACAGCTCGAAGTCATAACTGTAAACAACAAAGATGTTATTCTCGTGTGGTACGTATGTATACAGGGTGTATCTAAATAACACCGAAAAATTTCCTTGTGAAATTCTAGCAAATAAAGTTCATATAAGCATTGTGTCCTAACTTACTCCGTTTTTGAAATACAGGATGTTGAAGTTGGAAGTATTAATTGTTTTTATTTATAACCCCCCTGTATAAGCTTTCATGGTGCCAAAACTCAGTATGGATGGAGACTGAGAAAGCCCCAAAACACCAAAATGATTCTAATTGGGGTTATTGAGTAATCTTAATGGAAGTCTTGAAAACACCTACATTAAAATTTGGAGTCAAATCGATTTTTTTTGGTTCCTCAAAAACTAAGCTAGATAAAAAATTCACACAGAGGATAAAAAAGTTGTTATTTCAATAGTTCAGTCTAATAAAAATATGAAACTCAGAAAAACCAGTGGCGTACAATGATATTCACCATGAATATCGATAAATTTACCCACTGTGACGCCCCTGGAAATATTATTTAAAATCTAATTGCACCAGAAGAAGCTTCATATTACTATTAACAAAACCACAACGTTTCATTAAAATTGATGAAAAGACAATTGGGAAATGAATAGAAAAAAGATTTTTCATGGAAATATTAATACCCTGTATCTCGAAAACGAAGCAAGTTAGGACACATGTTTATATAAACTTTATTTCCTAAAATTACACAAGGAATCACCTCTCTTCGGTGTTATTTAGATACACCCTGTATAAGGTGTAATACCTGGGCAATAGTAGAGTCCCTGTATATACCTTAGACAAGAGTCCGGACACAAAACTGACAGCCGTTGGGGTTTTTAATATTTTGTTTCATTTGGTTTGCCCACCTGACAATATGACGTAACACCATAGTCGTCCCGCCCGCTTTTTTAATTATTTAGAATTTCTGTCACTTTGAAATTTTATGACCGCCAAAATTTAGCATTTTAAATTATTGCAATGTCCTGCTGCGTACATTATTGCGATAACTCATTAGAAAAGGGATTCAAGTTATTCAATTTTCCGAATGATCCTTTAAAGATAATGTCATGGAAGAATGCAATGAAAACGTCCAGAATGGAAAATTAATTTCAAGAAATCCGCAATATGGGAAGTGAATATTCAAATTTACTTGTGAAAACAGTACAAAAAATATGAATTTTAGGCCCATTTTGATAGAGATTCTTTCAAGCTGATAGATTTCAAAATGAAAGTCTACTGTGCCGTCAATTTATAAGATAGAGACGTTCAAAAAAAGAGTTTTTCTGTCGTCATCGTATTCGGAATTACTGAATGATACGATCGCAAAGAAAGAAAATGAGAATGGGATGATTTCTGCTGAGTGTTATTAAACTGAGGGAATCGGAGAAAATTAATCATTCCAGAATTACATCATTCGACAGGTTGCTGAGGGGCAAACATTTTATTTTGTCAAGATTTGTCATATAAAACCAGAATTAGTGGGATCGTTTTCCCTGGAATCCGAGTTGGAACGAGAAAGAATTTCATAATTTTGTTTGGTGAAACTGTTATTATATTGTGGATGTGGCAGGGATGGCCAGGGCTATGCTCATCAAAGGTAACCTAACAGATAGTTTGTGTGCCCCTCAAGAAACCATGTCAAAATCACGTGTTCTAGAATGATCAATTGTATTGAAACAATTATATATCTTCCATTTTTTTATATCCCAACAGAAAACAACTATATTTTCTTGGCTATATGTGATACCACGTTGAACAATTGAATTATCTTTCTTATATCTAATGAAGTGAAGAAATTATCGATTCGAAATTGGAACACCCTGTTGTTCATTATTTGAAAATCTAATAGTTATTCTAGTTAAAATAGCCCTATTTCTCACTTTTACCTACGGCTATGAACGGTTTGACAAATAATCTAACCCTCAAAATTGTTTCTGACAATCATTGATACTAGGGGAATTGAAAAGACAGAGCTCGATATATATGTCTTATTCCTTTATTCAATCATCAATGCATTTTTTGAAAACAGAAAAGGACAGAAGTATAGCTGTGTCCGGACTCAGGTATATACAGGGACTCTAGGCAATAGATTCCACGACTGAAATGAAGGAAAAGCTCGAAGTAACTTTGGTCGAAAAATGGCTGCTATGAAAGCTACAGCCTCGCAAAGAAGCTACAGCCTCGCAAAGAAGCTCTCCTGAAGATGGTTTTCATTTACATTTTCAAATCGATCTGAGATAAAATAATGATTTTTTTTTTCAGGAGTCTATTAAGCACAAAAATCGAAAATTGTGAGATTTTTTCGAAAAGAGGTACTCCAATATGTATCAATTGTGAAATTATTATTGAAGAATGAAAAAACAGATTTGATATTATGATGTCCCCATATTTTTTATGCGATTATGGGAGTTATTCTCGACCCAGTTTATTCAATTTTTTTAAAGTTTTGGACGGGGAATCTACTGCTAAAGTGTTGAACGCTAAATATGGGACACCCTGTATAGTATGAGAGTAAATTCATCAAAAATTAGTAAGCACTATACAGGGTGGCATTGAAATAAGTGCAAATATTTCAAACCCTGAGAAAGCTCGACGTGTACTATCGAACGAAAAATATATACCGGGTGGCCATGAGAACTGGCATCTCTAAATTTTGAATTGTTCGAGATGAAAATTTCAAATTTGGAGGGTTCATATAACCATTCACTGATAATGTTTTTCGAGTTACTTCGGGTGTCGCTAAAAATGACCTCAACTTTTGATTTTCAAATGAGACCCTGAATATTTTCACATTTTTGGATTCAGGAGATCATTTTACATACAGTTGTATAATTTCCGGTTGAAAATTTTTTTTGATTATTTGAAATCGTATCTAGGTGGCTATTTCTGCCATAAATTGTTTTTGTTTCAGTTTTTTTTTTCAAATGAAAAATTCAAATCATTCTCCACAACTATCTTGCATATATTCGGCCCTCCAAGTGATCATGAAAAAATGATTTTCTAGAATAACTTTGCTTTTCCAAATGGAATGATGATGGGCCAGTTGATATTCTTGAAGAATATTCTTCAACTTATTGATTACCACATTCGTCAATATCCGATTGATAATCGAAACACAAAATGAATAAAATCAAAATGAATTGTAAAAATTATACAACCGTATGTAAAATAATATCCTTAATCAAAAAATGGGAAAATATACAGGGTTGTCCCATTTGAAAATCAAAAGTTGAGGTAATTTCTGCTGAGACCGGAAGTGATTCGGAATTCAGTGTAATTGTATCAGTGATTGCGCAATAAGATGTTATTTGAACCTTCCGAATCTCATAATTTTATCTCAAATGATTCAGAAGTTACAGGGGCGGCCGGTTCTCGTGGTCAGCGGGTATAGGGATGGAAATAAAATTTGGGGTTAGACCCCTTTTTCGACCCAAAGTTCTACACTGTAGCAATTCTGACGTCACCTCGGTTCAAATGTCTGTGCGGAAGGCACAAATACGCGGAGTTCAATCATTTAAATTGTTTTAAAATGGCGTATTTGATTTCATTCTCGTTATTTGTTGAATTTTCGGGATGAAATATTTCGTTAACTAGAAGAATTAGCAGACAGGCTGAGATCATGGGAATATTCGTTAGACTGTATCATATCGATTATCGATGTTTTTTTATATTGATACTTATTTCAAAAACTCCTCGTATAAACTAATTGACCATATTTTCAAGTGTTAGACATTTTGTATTTTGAATTTGGCTACAAAGGTGTCTAATGTGAATAAAATTGGCGCCATTGTCAAAATTATTGTATTATTCTTGTTAGATTAAAAACTGTTGAATTGTTTAATATCGAAAATGCTAAGAGGGACCTTTCGTTTTCTAAACAAATTATATTTGATATTGTCAAAAGACAATACATTCGACAAATGGCACTCAACTTGATAGTACCTGATGCCAGAACTGCCAACAAATGGTATGTCTAACTTTTTCTATGTTGAATATGGTAAATCGGCCTGCAGTCTGATACGGCTAGCAGAACCCACGTTTTTTGCATAAATCTGAGATCATAAATTCGGCGAAGATATCGAAAAATCCATAGGAAGCATCCAAAGTGGTGCTGCTAGGCTAATGGTTTTGATACCTATAAATGTGGTAAAGCTGCAGAATCTGCGACCTCGTCAGCTGCGAGTAGTACTTGGCCACCTGTTGCTGCGTCGTCCCTCTGCCTGCGTTCCTCCACTCGGGCCGTATGAGGTCACCAAGGTTCGCCGATTCTATGAGGTACATCTGGTCCTCTTGCAGCGTCTCCGTGTGCGCTATCACGTGGAAGTCGAACATGCAGGGCGTGCAGAACTCGACGATGGGCGTCCAGTGCATGTCCAGCCTTAGGTCTTGCCTGGCGGAATCTACCAGGTAGTCGACGAATTCGGAGAAGGTCGGCCATCGTTGAGTCGGTAGGTTGGTGCTGGGTCTCTGGAAAGGAAGGGCAGGTCGAAGTATTCCGTGTGGTCTGGTGTAAGTGCTCTAACAGAAATTATGAAAGAAACATCAAATGGAAGAAGTATTGCAGACCGTATTTCCCGAAGCTGAACATGCGGTTGATAGATCATGAACCCATGTATCTATCTATTCTGATAAACTAGAAATGATTTCTTGATTGGTAGGCCTATTACTATCAGGGGCTCACAACTTGTGAGTACGGGAATGGTGAACCCGAGGTTTCCTAGCTGAATATTCACCAAACTTCAACGTGTCTTAGGTGATATCCTCTTCTCTCTCCCCTTTCCAATATAACCTATTGGCCTTCTTTGGCCCAATACTCTTCCCCTCCAAGGCCAACCTCACCATCAAGTGGTTTGGGGAGGACAGACCGCGGCCGCTCGACAGATGAAGCATTTTGGGACCATCTTTGCTATCCGGGCCAGATGGGACAATTATTTGTGGACATCTGTGGTGGTCTGGTCAGAGAGGCTCTGGCAACCTAATCCAAGCTGTGGGAACTCGTGGCAATGGATGAATGGCACCGAGGTGTGGTGTCGCTAACGGGGCCTCTGGGAAACAGGGCGACATCTCTGAGTAAACAGCCTTAGCCTTGTGCAGGGGGAATCATAGGGCTGGACCAACCCCTTCCCCCGTCACTCGTACAGGGTTCGAGAACAGGGTTCAGAAGAGTAATCTTCAGGAACCTGAGCGAAAAGGGTCTTTCATATTGAAATGGCCCTTATTGAGCACCATGAGTCGTATATGGTGAAATTAATAACGGCATGTAGATACCACCTCGACCAAAAAAGGAACAGAATCTTCCTTTGCGGAAACAATGGCCAACATCCCAGTGTTTAACCAATATGTTCTGGAAGCGTTGGCTCCTAGAATGTATTCCGACCCTAATTAATTGTAAAAAATGGCAGAAAGATGAATCAGAAATCGGGACGTGTGAGGTTGTCGAGCAGCGCATATTCGATGAGGTATATTTGGTCCTCTTGCAGCGTGTCCGTGTGGCCTGCCTGGCGGAATCTACCAGGTAGTCCACGAATTCCGGGATGGTCGGCCATCGTTGAGTCGGTAGGTTAGTGCTGGGTCTCTGGAAAGGGAGAGCTGGTCGTGTTATTTCGTGTACTCTTTTGTAAGAGCTCTAACAGGAGTTATGAAAGAAACATCAAACGGAAGAAGTATTGTAGACCGTATTTCCCGAAGCTGAACATGCGGTTGATAGTAGATCATGGAATCCATGTATCTGATAACCTTGAAGACTCAAAGAACGACATCAAAGGGACGAGCTGAGAATAAGAAGGAAGGAAATGCTTATTCAGTTTTATATTGTTGATGATAAGTCACTACATTATTCCTAAAATATCAATTTATTAATATTAACACGAATCATATCTATATTCTTTTGAAATTACATTGGACCACTTCGAGATATGGATGATTTTCATGACATGGCTCAACAAGAAACTTTCACCTGATGTTGTTGGAAGTCATTGCGAATGTTGCCTCAAATTCACATCGTTGAGAAAGGAGTGTAAAAGAGTTCACATACCTCCACCTCTTGTTGAAGTGCGAAAAGGAACTACAGAATCAAACAAACAACAAACCAACAACTAACTCGAATTGGACAATCAAATCAGAATTATAATCTGTCTGTCTGACAAATATTCTATTAAAAAAAATGAGCTCGCGATGTTTTCAGTAAACTACCGCCATTGACAGGCAGACAAATGTTTGGTCAATGAACAGACAACATTAAGCCTCTACCTGCTTACTAGGTGTTGGTTTAGAACAACAATGATAAAGCATCAACCAACTATCAGAAAACAATCTCACCTTTTTTTTGTATCTGTACTTCATGATGATTTCGTTTCCCAGTTTCTTGTGATAAGTGTGTGGAAGCGCGTATTGAAGCTTATCGCGATAAGCCGAAAGCAACCTCTCCAAGGGATGGCGTACTATCAAGAACGATATCGAAGTGTTGAAAGCTTTTTGGAGGGCCAGCAGAGAAGGTCGAGGATATCTCTGTCTAGCCAAAGTCATAGGCACTAATTTGCTTTTCTTCAAGAAGTTTGGGCTATACCTGAAACGTTAACAATGAATACATTCGTCTATACGAATTATTGCATAGCCAGGAAAGTAGTTTTTTTTCTCTCGTTAACTACCATTTTTCTTCATTTGATGAACTATTGTGGTAATGACTTTGAGTTTTTCTCTTTTTGTGATTATTTCATGTCGGGCAACCAGTCACTCCCATTTCACATGAAATGGGATCTTGTTTTGGAGTGTTTCTTTCCTTGCCAGGTGGCGTTCGCGTTTGCGTTCATTTCGCGGACGTTGAACGTCTCGTAGGTTATAAATGCTGAGATGCGTTTTCGTTGGGTCAGGTTCTCACCAGATAGCGGTCAAGAAGCTATATCTGGGACAGCCCTGCACTGATGAGAGCCAAGAGCTCGAAACCGGTCTGCAGGTAGTCAGCGTTCCTGAACCACTTAAACGCAGCTCGGCGTTAAGGAAACACTTGCGATTTTATTCGTCTATACGAAATAATGCATAGATTTCTGGAGGATGTAATTCAAAGTTCTGCGTGGCATATAGCCAATGAACTATTGTGGTAATAACATTGAGTTTCTCTCTTTTTGTAATGAATACATGGTTGCAAAAATTCACTTTTGAGATCAATACCTATCAATTTGGTGTGTTTGCATCGTCATTGTGATGAAGGTCATGGTTATTTTTATAGAAATAAGTGTTGATTCAGAGTTTGATGTAGTCTTACCCAGCTAAAATATTGAAATTGTACATCCATGAAGTACTGGCAGCCTTGAAGATATTGCACCATACCAAATGATGCTTATTGTCCACCAAAAATTCCCAAGGGTTAGGCCTGTGCAACGTGTCGTTTCCAATTTTGTCTAATCCCAACAGTTTGCACATTTTCTTCAAGTGTTGTCGGCGCTGATCTAGTCGCTTCGCAATCTGCGTTAAATTTTGGTTCAAACTGACGTCTAGTGACAATTTCCTTTTCTGGCTCATCTGAAAAATATCAATCAAAGGTAATTCCTTGATTCCAAATAATTTTATTGATATTTTTCATTCAGTTTCCAAGAAAACTCGTTTACTTCACAAAAAAATTGAAGCAATGCGCGCCAGATTTTTTGTTGAGAATATTCAGAGTGTTACATTTGAAAAAACTGATTTGGATTCTTTTTTTCTATTCTGCGATTCGCATTCGTTTATTTATGGAGTGCCAAAAGTTAGTACAGAGGAAACCCTACAACCCTACACCTCGTATAGTTGAAGCTATAGAGGTAGGGGTCAAAATATAAGGAGACGTTGGCGTCTGGCGTCCAAACTATCTGGTAGAGTGTTTCTCCACTGTGTATATATTTATCTCTGTTTAACACATGCGAGTGAGAAGGAAACATATACATTGAGTGCAGAAACACTCCACCAGTTCCTGCCAATGGAATTCGCTATAAGTAAGTTTGCTTGTGTCGAATTGTTTTAGTTTGAGGAATTTGTGATAAGTTTTCGTAAAGACCTTTTAGAGACACCCAGATCTTGGATTGTAATTGGATATTTTATGTGGACCGAGTGAAGTAAATAAATAAATAAATAACAAAAAGAATTCCCCTATCACTGATACGAATGATTTATTTGGAAGTTCCAAGCTCATCAAGATCAGAGTTTGTACAAGTATACTTCTCATATACATTTCAATTTTCATTTCAATACTGAACGTATTGGTAAGTTATATTTTTATATCATAGTACATCATATTATTTTATCCGATTTTGAGAGATGATGTCAATTCTCAATTTCAGATGATTTTCATTTTTCATGCTCTCTTTTTGGAAGTTCAACAGATATAATTCAATGTTCAACGTGGCAAATAGCCAGGAAAGTAGTTGTTTTCTGTTGAATACTCAGAATGATATTATCTGCATATCTTTATATGAAGGAGAATGCAAATTGTCTACTTCAGAAGATTTTGTTTTCAAATTCTGATCGTGTATGTTCAATAGATGTTATTAAATGTTCGTCTTGACATATAGCCAGGCAAGTAGTTGTTTTCTGTTGAATAAATCGAGGAAGAATTAATATTTTCATCACATGGAGAATGCGAATTATCAATGAATTTCTTTATATATACAGTGTGACCCAGTTCTAATAGAAACACCCCCGTATATTACTTAATCGTTGGGTAAGGATCCTGAAATTTGCTGGAGCGAGAGATATACCAAAAATGCACTTTATGACCAAGTGGGGTCATTATCAGTGATATACACTGCTCGCCAACAGCCATGGAACCAACCCAATTTCCGGAAAATGATATTTGGAGTCAAAATAGGATGAAAATCACTTCGGATTCGGAATTAGGACGCCCAATTCACCAACTATTCATAGTTTTCCTAGAAAATTTTCAGTTCAGAAAAATTGAATTTTGTCTTACTTCTCATGGAAGCACCCCCGTATCTCACGTAATTATTGAGGTAGGGTTTTGAAATTTGCAGGAGGAAGGGAAAGTCCAGAGATAAAGTCAATATTACGTAAGATACGGGGGTGCTTCCGTAAAAAGTGCGATAATATTTAATTATTCAGAACTGAAAATTTTTCAGAAAAAATATGAATAGTTAGTGAATTGGTCGTCCTGATTCCGAATCTGTAGTGATTTTCGACCTATTTTGACTCCTAATATCATTTTCCGGAAATTGGGGTGGTTGCATGGCTGATGTTGGCGAGCAGTCTATATCACTGAAGATGACCCCACTTATTCATAGAGGTGTTTCACCAATTCCTACCTTTTTCCCTTGCTTCTCACGATGTTCTCAACCAGAAACATAAAAAAATATCTCTCGCTTCAGCAAATTTCAGGATCCTTACCCAACGATTACGTAAAATACAGGGGTGTTTCCATTAGAAGTGGGTCACACTGTATATCCATTTTTTTTATGTTCATAATTATATCTGAGAATATTCCTCTTCAATAAATAAATTATACAGGGTGTTTCAAAAAAACCTGATTCCCTTACTAGGGTAGGTAGAACACTGCAAAATAAGTTGGGTTTTCTCAGTAAAAAAATTTCGTAACGGCATCCGTTATCAAGATACAAGGTGTTGAAATTTTTCAAGATTTTGTCGAAACTACTAGCAACATTGTGATGACATTTCGTATGGATTTGTTTTTATATCTGACTCTCATAGAGGGCGCCAGTTACACGGTTCGTACCGAGTAGTTTTGAACATAACTTTTTTGAGGTTAGATTTCTCGATCCAAATTTGATGTGAACTTAAACATCATCCAATTTTACACCAAAAAGGTACTCTTGGTAAAGCTCGATACTGTGTTCCGTTTTCGGAATATTTCGATTTGAAAATGATGAAGTGATAACTGTTGCTGGTATAAAGCTATGTATTAGTGTGAGTATTATGAAAAATTATCACCTATTTATTGAAAACCAAAAACAACAATACATTTCTCATGCAAAACTTATTGATTCACAAGAATAACATCGAAACAGATTTGACTAAGAACATGGATTACACAGTTTTGTTGTATCTTGAGCAGAAAGTCTATGCTACATAGGTAAACTCACGTCAACTGATGTAAGACATAATTGAACATCACTTAAATGACCTAACAGCTGATTCTCAACTGTCTACAAGAATAATACATTCTTAAGAATAGAATATAGAATCGTGTATTCGTCGAAACGTAGGACATTTTGAACACTTACTCTAACTGATTCAATATTTCATGTTTCTAGTCAAATAGCTCTTAATTTTATAATTATTATTCTTTGTTTCATCAATAACTTCAGTACAAGAATGATTTTATTGTTTTTGAATCTGAATAAATAGGTAATTGAACTCAATAAAATTCATTTTATACCATCATCAGCTCTTACCCCATTATCTTCAAATCGAAATATTCCGAAAACGGAACATAGTATCGAGTTTCACCAAGAGTACCTTTTTGGTGTAAAATTGAATGATGTTCAAGTTCATATCCTATTTGGATTGAAAAATCTAACCTCAAAAAAGTTATGTTCTAAACTACTCGGTACGAACCGTGAAACTAGCGCCCTCTATGAGAGTCAGATATAAAAACTAATTCATGCGATGTGTCAGATTTCAAGAAACATCCATACAAAATTTCATTACAATGTTGCCAGTAGTTTCGACATAATCGTGAAAAATGTGTGAAAAAATCATTTTTTCAACACCTTGTATCATGAAAACGGATGCCGTTACGACATTTTTTCACTGAGCATACCCAACTTATTTCGCAGTGTTCTACCTATCCTAGCAAGGGGGTCAGGTTTTTTTCTCAAGATGTCGATCACTTTCTTACATGCTGCATATAAGTCTGGTGATTGGACACAGGTCTCATGTACTGATCAGTGGCGACCAGCAGCACCAGCAGCACGGGAACCACGCAAACCGCCGTGAAGAACAGGACGCATCTGCGTACCACCCTCCATCCGCTCACTTGGGCCTTTCTCCTCCTTTTCAGTCTCATTTCCTCACTGCTTCAGTCTCAGTCAGCTCTCGTGAATTTCGTCTGCGTTACTCGTGGAGAGCCGGTCCAGGGGAAGTTTGGTCGCTCTTGGCATGGTGACTATATCTGAAATAAATTGAAAGTAATAGCAGATTGTTTTATTAGGATCAAAAGTGACACTTTGTTTGACAAGCGAATTTTGCATTTGCGAGGCGGAGGCGGAGCGCCATATTAGATTTAGAATAACCTTACATCATTTTCCGAGTTACTCTCAACGAGCCGTTTCATTTGATACCCATATTGTAAAAGTAGATTAGAAATAACAGCTATTCCGTCATCTCGGATGGTCCGCCATATTGGATTCAGAATGACGTCACATTATTTTATTTATTTATTTGTTTATTTAACAAATAACTTCCAGACAGAATAGGCTCTGGTATAAGGAAGTACATAATAATATACCTATAGGTAAACATATCATTATACAAAATATATCAACAACTGTAAATTGACAAACAAAGAATAATATTTGTAAAGAAAAAAATTCATGTTCAATTTTATCCAGTTCGCTCAGAAATAATCCATTTTTTCACTTCATTTTTGAATGTACCTGCAATTTCTGCAATTTTTTATATTGTCAGGTAGTTTATTGAATTCAGTTAAGGCTGAATGAGTGAATCTTTTTTGTCCGATTATGGAGCTAGCGGCGTCAAGATGAAACAAGTTATATTGTCTTGTTTCATGATTATGAATTTCAGAATTCCGTATCAACATAAAATTCAACTTCAATTTTTTATTTATGATATTATATGATATTTTAAGAGTTTCAATACGTATTTGTTATTTCAAACAATTGATTGGTTGGTGTATCAAATGGGAGACGATACAATACTTTTAACGATTTTCTATATAAAGTTGATATTTTATTGAAATTGTTTTTTGAACAAGTTCCCCAAACATTTATTATATAGTTGATACGACTCAGTATATGAGAGTAGAGAACCATGTTTGCAATTTTAATATCAAGTTTGGGACATCTTCTCAATGCACCAATAATTGGAGATATTTTTTTTGTCAGAACATCAATATGTTTGTCCCACTTCAACCTGTCATCAAACCAAATTCCAAGATATTTTATCTGGTCAGTTTGTTTTAAGAGTTCATTTTTCATTTTAAGGTTGAGGTAAATTTTTTGTTTATTTTTTTGGTGAAAAATCATATATTCTGTTTTGTTAGTATTTATCGATAAAAGGTTAGAGTGGAGCCATTTTTCAAATATTTTCAAGTCTTCATTTATCATATTTTCTAAATTTGAAGGATTCTTGTCTCCATATGAAAGTACTGTATTATCTGCATACATGGTATATTTACTCGTGAGACCAATTTCACTGATATTTTGAACATGAAGTAAATATAGCATAGGTTCTAAAACAGAGCCCTGTGGGACGCCCTTATTGATTAATAGTTTATTTGACACAGAGTTGGTTGATTTTGTATTGATTGTCCTATTTTCAAGATATGAATTCAAAATATTTCTCACAGTGCCTCTGAGTCCCATTGTTTCTAAGTTTTCTAAAAGTGTTGTATGATCAACTGCCTTTTTGAGATCAATGAACAGCAACCACATAATTTCCTGAATCAAGTCCTCTCTGGATTGATTCTATCGAGTTACTACCAACGAGCCATTTCATTTGATACCCATATTGTAGAAGTACATTAAAAATAACTATTCCGCCATCTTGGATGGCCCGCCATATTCGATTTAGAATAACTTCAGACACCTCATGATGCATTGTCATCCAAACTGAACGTGTATAAAAAATTTCAGTTCAAAGATTCCACCCGAACTAACATACATACATCCATACATTGCAAGTTAAATAAAAGCTTTTAATTTCAATTAATTAATAAACCTAACCATGGTGGAAATATAATATGGTGTGCTACTCACGTATCTTGAATTCGTTTTTTTCCGCATAACATCATTGCGACTCGGGCGAATTGATAACTGCGAGCTCAGACTGCGAGAAATAGTTTTACTCGCAGTGACGTATACGAAGATGCGTCGTAGGACACCATATTATAATTCCACCATGGATCAATAAGTTTGATTATTGGGTGGGCCAAATTAGACCCTTTTAAAGGGAAAGTCCTATTCTCTAACTAGATGGAAGAAAACCGATGTCGGTGCCTGATGGTCGAATCTTATGAAAAACTCAAAACCCCGAAAAAAATTTGTGAGTGCGCCACTGGATCCTGCGCAAAATTCCCTGTTGAACATAGTTCTCAGCGCAACATTATTCCTTATAATTCTGTAGTCATTATAGAAGAGGTCCAAAAAGTATGAATTCTCAAACTTGCCCTGTATCTCATAAACGGAAACAGTTATGCAAAATCTGACTCGGCCCTCAGTTTCACAAAAAAGTAGGACAGGAACGTGAAAACCGCAAGGCTCGCTATCTTTAATAACAACCGAGAAACCTGGCAGATTTAATCAAAATGAGATGCACTGTACACGAAAAGGTTCTTTAATGACTCCTATTAACGATCAATTTGACTATTAACGATCCATTGTGACACAGGCATTCAAACATAAACCGTGTCTTTATATCTTGGAGAGCACGAAAAGAAATTCCTAGGATGTTCGAAGAACATCGTGCGTACCTAGCGAGGATAGGGCCTAGGGAGAGGAAGTAGGTAATTTTTTACCTCTGGAGGTTATAAGTTCTTGGGAATACTTCCATTAGCAAATAATTTTGGTAGAGTGTTGTTCGACATATTTCAAGGTTAACGACGAAGGGATGTGCTGACTGGGCCTGTTGAGTTCGTCTGACTGGTATTACTCGTGATGGAATTATAGCAGAGATTTCTTTGGAACATTTCCCTTTGAAGTATCTATAGAAAAGTAAGAGGTCGTCGACTTTTCTATGGTGTTCTAATGGGGTCAAAGAGTTAGAGAGTGTGGAATCGCCCACCAGGCGAATGGCTCTTCTCTGGATGGAATCTCAGGCCGGCGTACCTCAGTGCTTCGATGCTTCAATATCGATTCACGTCGAGGTATCGATCGTGGGTTCGAGTGCCACGAACGCAGACTTTTTCTGATGGCCTAAGAAAGTGTTTGGGATCAATTCAACTAGGTTGTTGGTTCCCCAGGCTGCAATTTCAGCAAGATCGTCTTTGACAGCGTTGACCTGCCTTCGTCGTAAGTTCTCAGTTTCCTGGAAAGAAGTGAGTATTCTAGAAGAGAACGCAGTATGGAGAGTACTATCGTCGGCAAAGCTGTGGATAGGGAAAGTGGTTGCTCCCAATAGATCATTGATATGAAGTAGGAGCAATGTTGGTGCCAATAAGATTGATCCTTGTGGAACGCAGGAATTGATGGCAAAGGTATCAGATGATACTCCGTCCACCACCATCTCATGGAGCGATCTGCCTGAAAGGAAACTCGATAGTTTGTGTAGGAGTCCTTGGTGTTTCCTCGTTGTTTCACTGTTGGGATTATAACTTACGGAATATACATTCAGATCGAAAATAAGAATTTCATCGAAAAGTTCACATCAACGGTTTAGCTTTTCAACGTTTGTGAACCGATTTTAATCACTGTTTCCGAACACAAAAAAAACGTATTTACCATGTTGATTTTGACAAATGTCACTAATGTCAGTGCCAAGTTCACTTTCATTATGGCTACTGGGTGATTGCTTGTAGTTTCCGAATGAATAAGGAATTCACGAAAGACATTTTTTCGTCGATCTCTACAAAAAATCACATTTTACGTTCTGATTTCCGAACGAAAAACCGACCCTTCCCAAAGGTAAGTACGTTTCGTCCGCAGACACTAACTTTTCGTCCGCAAACACTTTTCGTCCTCTGCAGGGGTGCCAGTTCTACTGAAATTTCAGTGATTTTTATTTTGATCTACTGTTCTACTGAAACCTTTCATAATGTACTGAAAAATATTCGGTTGAAGTCTAGTTATTTTCCAGCAGAATGGGAAGTACTAAAATAATAAAAAGTATCAGAGAAATATTACTATATCCTCTTACTGACATTATAAATCAATGTATCAATGCAAGTGTTTTTCCAGAAATCCTTAAAGAAGCATTAGTGATTCCAATTTTCAAAAATAAAGGGGATATAAATGATGTCACAAATCATAGGCCCATATCTATACTTCCTGTATTTTCTAAAATATTTGAGAAGGCCATAGCACTACAAATCACAAGGTTTTTTGAAAAATATAAGATATTCACAAACTGCCAGTATGGGTTTAGACAAAACCATAGCACAATTACAGCTATGATGGATCTAGTTGGTTTCATAAATGAAGGCTTTGAAAGTAAAGAGTCGGTTTGCTCAATTTTCTGTGATCTATCGAAAGCGTTCGATTGTGTCTCTCACTCCAAGCTCCTACAAAAGCTAAAATGTTACAATTTCGATGATAATAGTTTAACTTTAATAAAATCATATATGTCAGACAGGAAGCAAAGAGTCAAACTTGGAGATAGAATCTCAGCAGAGCGGGAGTTAAGTGCCGGGGTCCCACAAGGATCTATTCTGGGACCACTGTTGTTCTTGATTTACATTAACAACTTGCCAAGTTCTGCAAATCTAGAAAAATTCGTTCTGTTTGCTGATGATACAACCATTTCATTCCGTGGTAAACTTCCTGCAGATGTGGAAGCCAGGAGTGATGAGGCGCTACAAAATGCCAAATCTTGGTTCGCTGCAAATGACCTTTTTTTAAATGAAAACAAAACAAACAAATTGTTATTAACTCTGTGTAGGAATAATGAAAATGAGTACCTGGAAAGTGTCAAGTTTCTAGGCATTCATTTAGATTCAAGACTGAGCTGGCAAAATCATATAGAAATAATGTCCAAGAAACTTAATAGCTCGATTTTTGTTCTTCGAAATTTAGCAAATATTGTATCCGCTTTCACCTCACTCAAGACTGCCTATCACGCTACTTTTCATGTACACCTTAGCTATGCTAACATTATCTGGGGTCATGCAGACATCAATAGATTATTTGCCTCACAACGAAAAGCTATAAGAATAGTAGCT